AGAGAGAGAGAGAGAGAGAGAGAGAGAGAGAGAGAGAGAGAGAGAGAGAGAGAGAGAGAGAGAGAGAGAGAGAGAGAGAGAGAGAGAGGGCGTCTGAGCAAACTGCTTCGAAATGTTTTTTCATGAGTAGTAAGATTATTATATGGAGGTGGCCGAGTGGGAAGGTGCGAGTGCGGGAACGACGCTATAACCACGGGCACATAGGAGAAGTGCAGCGAAATTGTAGTAACGAGACATGAGATAAGTGCACACACACACACACACACACACACACACACACACACACACACAGAGAGAGAGAGAGAGAGAGAGAGAGAGAGAGAGAGAGAGAGAGAGAGTCTGTGCGTGGTTTCGTGTATGCGTGAGACAGGCACTCTCTGCCTGTGTGTGTGTGGGTGGCTGTGTGTGTGCGTGACTGTGTGCGTGACTGTGTGCGTGCGTGTGTGTGTGTGTGTGTGTGTGTGAGTGTGTGCGTGAGTGTGTGCGTGCGTGTGTGTGTGTGTGTGTGTGTGAGAGAGAGAGAGAGAGAGAGAGAGAGAGAGAGAGAGAGAGAGAGAGAGAGAGAGAGAGAAATTGTGTTTGGGTGGTCTTTTGTGAGGAAAGAAGATGGTCACCAGCGGGCGAAGTTTCTAATTGATAGCGTTGATATGGCGCTCAGTTGTTCTTGGGTAGAATGGTGTGCTAAGGGTACGCGTCCAGCGGTAGCATACTTGTGGTCCGCTTGCGTCCTTCTCGTCCTGCTGTTCTATTCCTGGCCGTACAGTGCTTCTCATCAAGGCGGCGTCTTCCTATCGGATGAGAGCTCCACCTTACAGTTCCAGGAGGTGATCTCAACAGTCGCGGGAAGAGATGATGCAGCGGACGTTGTGTGTGATCGAGCACGATATCCGCGATTGGATGATCTCCGAGATGACAAGTTGACCATCCTACTCGTTGGTTCTCCGTCGTCCCGGGTTCCGCTTGTGCAAAAGAGCTTGCCACTGTTATGTCCCATCGATGTTGTGGATGCCATCATCGTTACATGGGGCAACGAGAATGCTAGTAGTTTCTCCGAGCTTGAAGCAAGCGTCAAGAGCCATGGCGATCGCGATGGCGATGGCTATGGCGGTTGCGCCGGGATCCGTGTTGTACGAATTCCCGGCAGTGTGACATCCCGCTTCCTTCCTCGCACAATTATCAGCACTGCCGTCGTTGCCGTCGCTGGGGATGATGTGCTGCCTGACCCCGGCAGTTTAGAGTTTGCGCTGAAGGTGTGGCGTAACAATCGTGACCGGATTGTCGGTTTTTTTCCCAGTTCCCATCAGTACAACACAGAGAATGGGACTTGGGAATACCTCTATTCACCTACTCGATACTCCATGATTTCAAGCAGGTTCATGCTGCTCTCGACTGAGTATTTGTTCGACTACACGTGTCGAAATGCTCCGGGAGTAAGGGAGTATGTCACGAGGGAGGCGGGGTGTGCCGACGTTGCCATGAACTTTCTGGTGGCCAATAACAGTCGGTCGGCGCCTGTCCTTGTCGGGGGAGAGTGGGTAGATCGGGATCGGGGAGCGCGGGAAAGGCGGAGCGAAGATGGCGGGAATGACAACAGGGAGAAGTTGGATCATCGCGCAGCGCGGGCGAGTGGTCGCGGTGCGTGCCTCGACGAGATCGCTCGGCTTTGGGGTTACATGCCGCTCCGATACAGCTACGCGACAGCTGTGCCGCAGGTCGACAACGAGACTGTTGGCGAGAGGTTTGGGTCGCTGGTCAGCGGTGCGAAGGCTGGGGGGAGCTCGTATCAGCAAGCTCCACCTTCCGTGGGACAGCATGCGATTGTTAAGCGGCCGCGCTACGCCTACGTAACATTACTCAACACTCCGAGTCTAGTTTCGCAAGCACTCGTGCTTGCCCAGTGCCTACGAAGCACTGGCTCTCCTCATCATCTCGTCATTATGCTAGTCGAAGGTTGGGAGAAGAGTGGTGGGAAATGGATGGCGGTTGGAGGGCAGGCAGAGAGAGGTAGCGGAAAGAGCGGCGGCAAAGACGAGAAGGAAATGCGGGAGCTACTGCAGGCACATTTCGATGAAGTTCGGGAGGTAAAGAGTGTCAATCCTTCGGGTCATGCAGGTTTCAGCAAGATAAATGCCTGGCTATTGACAGAGTATACCAAGGTAGTGTTTATAGACATTGATATTCTGGTGCTAGATAACTTAGACGATCTGTTCGAGCGGCCAGAACCAGCGGCTGGACCGAATAGCTTCGACGCACATCTATTCAACAGCGGGTTGATGGTAATCCAACCATCCAATGCCACGTACGAGTCCATGGTGTCGGCAATACCAAGGATGTCATCGTATGACGGAGCGGATCAGGGGTTCTTCAACTCCTACTTCAGTGGATGGTTTCAAATGGCTAGCGACCATCGGCTGCCTTTCCGACTCAATCCCATGATTCATTTTGCAGATCATTACCATCCACCTCTCTGGTTCAATACTAATCGCGCAGACGAATTCCTGCATTTGCCCAGAGTTGTAGCAGGTGCAAAGGGAGGAGGAGGAGGAGGAGGAGGAGGAGGAGGAGACATGTCGGAAGGAGCGGCAAACCGGGAGGCAAACGAGCTACTCGAACAGGCTCCAATCCGTAACGTTCACTTCACAGGTGGATGGTCTAAACCCTGGCAATCGGACGAAAAGCCTCGTGGCACCGTGTGGTGCAAGGCGTGGAAGGCGGTGGCTGCCAGGTTGGCAAGCAACAGTTGGCGCCCTGTTGAACCTCCCGAGTCCCTCGCGCCTGCGCAGTTCCTTCCCCATCGAAACTGGTACCGAGTCTATCGCCGGCTACAAGAATCCTCCGTTGAGAACGGCCTCAAACCCTTGTACGATTCTATCCGCTCGCCGGTCGGTGGTCAGTCGATTCCACCTCGTCCTCCTTCTCCTCCTTCTCTCCCTCCTCCTCTCCCTCCTCCTCTCCCTCCTCCTTCTCCTTCTCTCCCTCCTCCTCTCCCTCCTCCTCCTCCTCCTCCTCCTCCTTTGTTCACGAAGTTGCCTCGGAAGCAGCATGTGCCAGTCGAGGGCAAACTTCCAAACTGGTCGGACCGAGATAAGGAGGTGGTGGCGACTCTGGTGAGTGAGACGACGATGCTAGCGGCAGCAGTGTGGGCACAGTCGTACAGACGACAGCATAAGGGCAGCAGTTCGAGACCCATAATGCTAGTAGTTCCCTCGACGGCCGAACGGGCCCTGTGGGCCCCCTTGGCAGCTTTCTTCGACTTCGTAAGGGTCGTAAGTCCTCTGAAGGCCAAGGACGGAAACGGAGCGGTGTTTGCTCTGGGACAGGAGTACAACGTGCTTCATCTTTGGAACCTGACAAGATGGTCCAGGGTCGTCTATGTCCACCCCATGTCCCTGTTCGTTGAGAACGTGAACAGTCTTTTCGACTATCTACCCTTTGCTGCGACTCCAGCTAGTTTCCCTCCTGATCAGTTCTCCTCTCGAGTTATGGTTCTTCAGCCCTGCAAGGGAGCTTTCGAAGATCTTCTGGAGAAGGCCACGTACTTGCCCAACGTTCGCGGACCAAATGCTGAGGGATTCCTTAACGAGTATTTCTTCGACTGGTACTACAGGTCATCTCGGCACCGCATCTGGCCGTCCTTCAACGTTGACACGTGGTTCAAGCCGTGGTCACTGCATTACTTGCGACCCCACAAGATCTTGACATTCCGTAAGGATATGCAGCTTTGCCAGCCTGCCGACAAGAGACTCGCCGATGACCAAAGGCAAGCGTTACGGCTATGGCAGCAACAACTTTGCAGTTTGGACCCTGAACTCTTTACTCTCGCACAGAGTTGCAGAAATGTGTGCTCAACCGTGATAGCAAGCGGAGCAGCGATCGGGCGATAGCTATTCTTTAGAAGACTTTCAGGACGACAGAGAAAAGCTTAGTGCTAAGCGCAAGTAGTTTTGACAGGGGAAATTTTTTCATCTACTATGCCTCGATTATTTCGTTTTGTATAGGTTAAACTTCCCTGAGTGTGAGTGAGGGATAGTTGTTGTCGGTGGGAGGTTCACCGTGTGGCAGACGGTTGGGACCCGTCCTTCGGACATATTTCACCGGGGACCAGGTCCCATCTGGATTAGGAGATTATGGCCGTTGATCTTTGCTATCTACGGTCAGTATCATCGATTAATTCGTGTAAGTGGGACCTATCCCCAGGTCCCATCTGCACAGAGGATTGTTTCCCATTCTGGAAAGTGGATTCAGGAATCTCGACTCGATTTATGTTGATTGTGCAGAGGTTCAGACACGCTTTTCTGCACCTCTACGTAAAAAACTTCCAGATTCAGGCAGTTGTTCGAAATCCTCGTAGCTACCTTCTTCCCCCGAAGACAACGTACGGTCATTATAGCTGTATTCGAGGCATCTTTCAGTCTAGATACACAGCTATAATCACCGTACGTTGTATTCGGGGGAAGAAGGTAGTGGGACCTAGCCCCTTGCACGGTCCTCACCAGACGTAGTGCTTGCTTGAGTCATGCGGGGACTAGAACAACACGTGGCGGCACGGCATACATCAGCCTCTTCTGACAGGAGGAGCGGAGCTATGCGGGCAATCTGTTTGCCGAAGCCGGGGTAACGCAGACCTTCCACCATCGCTGGCATTTGGATTCCTTCATCATCAAGCATCCTTCTTTTTTTCTTTTTTCTTTTTTCACCAAGTATCCTAATACCAAGATAGCTGTGCGTGGAGCTTTGTCAATGAGGATTTCGTCTCGGAAGCATGGGCTTCTCGATCCTCCTCCGGCTCAAAACACCGGATTTAAAGAAGAAGATTAAAAAAAAACAGAAATAGCAGGAGTGGTGTCATCTGCGCAATGTATGGCGAGTGGCCGGGTGTAGATAGACGCAGATGCACACCATGGCATCGTCGGCGAAGGCCGATCCGATCGTTCGTTCGAAGGCAGGCGCGGCGGCCGAAGGGGGGGGGGGGGGGGGGGGGGGGGGGGGGGGGGGGGGGGGGGGGGGGGGGGGGGNGGGGGGGGGGGGGGGGGGGGGGGGGGGGGGGGGGGGGGGGGGGGGGGGGGGGGGGGGGGGGGGGGGGGGGGGGGGGGGGGGGGGGGGGGGGTGTTCCATGGATGAGGAGGCTGCGGCAGATGCCGACCGGTTTAGTGGCTTTAGGGGGGCTACCTAGGTGCAGTGAGTGGCTGCTTCTCCAGTGACTGAAGGAGAGGGGATGCGTGTGGGCAGGAATGGGTGGGGAGTAACCCGTCTGGGTCGAAGGAGCGGAAGAGCGAGCGGGTGACGAGGGAGGGGGGTTTGTGGGTTCAGGCCGAGATCACCGGCATGAAGCCCGAGATCAGATGGGATAGGCGCATAGGGGGGAGGAGAGGGGAGGGAGGGACGGTTGCGGTGAGATGAATGTTTAGTGGATAGCCAAGTGGGGATAATCAAAAGGAGAGGACGGAGGGGAGAGTGCTTCGGCACAAGACTCACGGCATACTCACACTAGGACCTTTTTACTTATTTCTAGACGGACATGCCGCCAGATACGTCCCAGTCCGGCGGTAATCACGCTTCGATACATTCAGAAGATTGGGAGTGTGAGTACGCCCTCAGTTGGAAGGTGTGATGACACCTTTGGTAGGCAAGTTTTTCTTTGGGGCCAGCGGCGCGGGGGTCACAGCAGAAGCACTTGTCCGCAGGTCCTTGGCTGTCCCAGTTAAGAAAGGCAAGAAAAGTACATGGCCGCTCTTCACATATGGCCCATGTTTGTTTTGAGCAGTTTTGTCATTTTGTGCAACGGTTCCTTCCCTCCCACAGGTACCGGGCCCAGTCCACAACTACGGTAGTATTGTTTTTTCTCGTCTTTTGAAACTCCGGCCATGTAGAAGTTGCGGTGGACTGCATTTTCTGCCCATTACCTGTCGAATCTGGACAGGACGGCCTTTCAGGCTTTTCACTTTGGCCCAGGACGGAGTCAGTATGTGACAACCGCGGCCGCGGCCGCGGGCATTTCGGCCACTGCGGCCGAGAATCCCGGCCGCGGCCTAGGCCTATGAGGCACAGTCCACGGCCTGTTTTTTTTTAATTATTTGTTTTTACCCCTAAATATACGTAAAATACAAATAAAAAAATATGGGGGTGTAGGACATCGAAAACCCTACACCCCTATATTTTGTTTTTTGGAATCCGGCTTTGTTTAAGATTTTAAAAAAATCAAAAACTAAAATCGATTTAAACAAAATTAAAAATATATATATAAAGAAAAGCAAGAATTTTTTTTTGCCATTTTTTATCATGAGATGTATGGTCCCTGAGTACACCTGTATTTTTTTTAGAATTGGATTTAATTTTTTTTGCAGGGAAATGAGGTGTTTTTGAAAAAAAAAGATGCAAAATTTGAAAATAAATAAACAAAAAACTTCAAAAAAGGGTTTTGATTGATTGGTTGATTGATTGATTGATTGATTGTGAGTGAGTGAGTGAGTGAGTGAGTGAGTGAGTGAGTGAGTGTGTGTGTGTGTGTGTGTGTGTGTGTGTGTGTGTGTGTGTGCAAGAGAGAGAGAGACAGAGATTTTGCTCATTCTTTCGATGGAAGTTGCGGCGCAACTTCCATCGAAAGGATGAGCAAAATCGATCGGAACTTCGGCCAGAACGTCGCAATATTCTCCACTACACGTGTGTGTGTGTGTGTGTGNTGTGTGTGTGTGTGTGTGTGTGTGTGTGTGTGTGTGTGTGTGTGTGTGTGTGTGTGTGAGAGAGAAAGAGAGAGAGAGAGAGAGAGAGAGAGAGAAGATTCGATAGATTTTGCTCATCCTTTTGATGGAAGTTGCGCGAGATCGCGGCTGGCCTCGCAAAACTTCCATCAAAAGGATGAGCAAAATCGATCGAATCTTCCTCTCGAACGTTGAAATATTCACTACTACACACACACACACACACACACACACAATCAATCAATCAATCAATCAATCAATCAGAATAGGATCTTGATTGCTTTGGTTGATTGATTGACTGATTGATTAATTGATTGATTGATTGATTGATTGATTGATTGATTGATTGATTGTGTGTGTATGTGTGTGTGTSTGTGTGTGTGTGTCAGGGGGAGGGGAGGGAGGACCCCTCCCCTACCAATCAACCAATCAACCAACCAATCAATCAATCAATCAATCAATCAATCAATCAATCAATCAATCAATGAATCAATCGATTTATTTATTTTTCTATTTTTTTTAATTTTTTTTTCACACATTAAAAATCGCCCCCAAATTTTTGATTTTTTTCTTTTTTTTGCACAGGCCTATAGCGGCCGACGTGCGCAGGCCGAGCGAGCGCGCGGATTTTGAGCGCGCGCCCCTGCCTGGGCGTCTTTCGGCCGCGCGCAGACTCGGCCGCGGGCCTGCGGCATCGGAGGTTGGCCGCTGACTAGGATCCTGCGGCTGCGGCCGAGGGTGCCACGTAGCGCAGGTGCCATGCAAATCTTTTTTTTTTTTTTTTTTTTTTTTTTAAAGAAACGACCTGAGCTGTCGATAGGGGTGCTGATAAGAGCAGACACCACTACTGTCGTCGGCAAGGCTGCATCTATTGGTGGGGAGCGGCACCTGCTGGAAAACGAGTCCTGCGTCCCTGAACATGGAAGTCATTTGATTATACGATCGTAAGTTTGTGATGATTGATAGTGTATGTACTTAATCCTATGTGTAGTAATGAGCTGCATCGATTGCCCTCCTAAGAGGGGATTAATTGATCTTCCAACCGTACATAATCATTAATCACAAGACAGGGATGACAGGAAAAACCTAAACAGTCAACCTCCCATCCTAATTGGTGTTGCGGGCCGGGCAAGACCAATCACCGCCAGCTAACCCACGCCCATCCGCTGCCAACCAACAACTTTGATCATCCCCCTGCAGCCGCAGTTGATCCTCATATCGTCCATGTCATCCAAGTCATAGCCATCGTCAATATTGTCGGTGCTGTTATTGCCAGCGTCACCACCCATCCCAACAGCACCGTTGTTGTTGTCAATCCCTTTGGCACCAAGGCCCCTGTAAATGCTATTCTTGAAATGATTGTTGTTGTTGTTGTTGTTGTTGTTGTTGTTGATGTTGTCATTGTTGATGTTGTCGATGTTATCGTTGTTGTTGTTACAACTGTCGCTTATGTTGATGTTGTCGTTGCAAGTGTTGACTCAGTTGATCTTGTTGATGTAGGTGTTGTTGTTAATGTCGTTGTTGTCATTGTTGTTGTCACCGCAGTTGTCGCCCTCTTCTTCACTACCCGCCGTTGTATCGTCCCCGATCATATTGTTGTCGCTACCAATATTGGCACTCACCTGCTCCACTATCTTATCACTGTGTGCATGGGAAAACGGCAAATCATTGCGGTTCTTTCTCAGAGACCCAGAGTCAAGTCCCACTAACAGGGATTTGGTTTTGGCTTTGTGACCTGTGCGGCGCTATGTGGCTGGGTGTGGCCCGACACAATGGGCCTCGCTCCACTATAGTCCGCTGTACAAGGAGAGCCGAACGCCGCTCTATTGGGCCTCGCCACACCAATGTCTTTTTTTTTTTTGTTTTTTTTTAGGAAATTTGTCCAGTTATTAAAATATACCAGAGGCAGGAGGCCGGGGGGCTCACAATTCAACCCGGAAAACAGCGTACTTGGAGGCTTAGATCCTATAAGAGGATTCACTTGTACTTCTTGCAGCTACCTCTCTAGCTATTTCCTGAAAAAATTAACCATGAAGCTCTGAGTAAAAAAGGAGGGGGGAAACCGCGCTTCTATAGATATCTCAATTAACGACAAAACTTCCCAAATTTCATCCAACTCCACGGACCTAAACGGGTTTTTTCCTTGCATTCCTAGTCACACAACCAAGGGGCGATCAAAAGTTGTCCTTTAGGGTTGATTCTGGCCAAGGCGTTCTTCAATGTCCATGTCTTTATGAA